TGTTCGTTCTCTTGATGTAAAAACTAAAGAAAGGAAAACATTTTTGGGCCAGGCGCGTTGGCTCATGCCTGTAATCCCAGAACTTTGGGAGGCCAGGGTGGGTGGATCCCTTGAGGTCAGGAGATCAAGACCACCCTGGCCAACATGGCAAAGCCCTGTCTCTACTAAAAATACAAAAATTAGCCAGCCGTAGTGACGGGTGCCTGTAATCGCAGCTACTTGGGAGGCTGAGGCTGGAGTCGCTTGAGGCCAGAAGGTGGAGGTTGCAGTGAGCTGAGATGGTGCCACTGCACTCCAGCCTGGGCAACAGAGCAAGACTCCATCTCAAAAACAAACAAATAAACAAACAAAAAACATTATATTTTAAACTGAAAAGTAAAGAATGACTTTGACCTGAGTGTCCCAAGGGTCTGCTTTATGTGGTCTGTCCCTCTACAAGCAGGGACCAGGTCCTGGTCACCTGGGTGTCCTCGCAGTAAGCTCTTAGCAAAGGTTTCTGAGTTGAATGAACTTCACTGTTTCAGTGCTTTTGTACAGTAACAGGCACTCAACAGAGTCCATGCTGTAATGTTGATCAGCCACCACGAGAGAGAAGTATACTCTAAGAGCACACACCATCAAGCCCCAGACAGAGTATCCCTGCAGACCAGGAATGCAGTCACCACGGTGCAGGTTCCCAACTACCCCAAAGAAATCCCAGGCCATTCCATCTCTACTCAGCCAAGCAAACAGAAATTCCAACTGTAGCAGCAAGATCTATTTTCATTATACAGTGTCTCTCCCTCTCTCTCTCTTTCTCTCTCTCTCCCACCCTTCCTGTCCCTCTCCCTTTCTCTCTCCATCTCCCTCTCTCTCTCCTTCCCTCCCTCCTTTCTCCTTGATCACTTGACATTGATACTGGGCCATTTATCCTCATGCATCATCTTAGAGTTACGTTTGTATAATTATCAATATGACAATTTGATATAATGGCCAGGAGAATCGCTTGAACCCAGGAGATGGAAGGTGCAGTCAGCTGATATTGTGCCGCTGCACTCCAGCCTGGGCAACAGAGCCAGAGGCTGTCTCAAAAATAAAAAAATAAATAAAGTTGTGATGTAGTTAACCAGTATAATCTTTTCAGTTATTTTTAAATTTTTGAAACAACATGATGTATATCAGCCATTCATTAGAGGAGGAAAGAAATGTGTGGAAGGACTGTTTTCTGCTTCAGATCATGGATTGTAGGAACAAAACAGAAATGTGTAAAAATGCTGCTCTTTTTCTGAACCAAAATAAAATTAGATGATTTTCTGTTGTTATTAGAAAAGATAGATTTCAGGAGAAATTAGAAAATAAATTATTTTAGAAACAAAACAAAACTCAGTACAATGGTATTTTGGTTAAGAAAATTATGGTTAGAAATTATGATTCTATCACTTTATGAAACAGAATCTTTAATAATTTGTCTACTTATACAAGGGATATTCCTTTATTTCTTAATGACTAATTTTAAATATATGATTATTCTCTCTGTACTGGTTTTTAACTAATGCTCATTAAAGGCTACTGATAGAACTCATTCTTTCTTCAAAATGGAGTTAACCCGAAATCGGTAAAGTTTCAGAAGATTCATTGTAGTTAAAATTAGGGTCATGAAGGGCAAAAGCCCATGTATTTCAGCCTTTGTAGAAGAATCCATTAATGCAGCATTACAAGTAAGTACAATTTAGTGGCTCTTTAGTTATTTTAAGCAGGAGGCCTCCTTAAAAGGGTACACAGATAAAGTCAACATAGATCTCCACTGACCCCAGGCGCGTGGCCAGAGGTCAGCTCCCAAGGGCTGTCTGCTCTCCTTGTTCCCTGCAGTGCTGTATTGACTCTTGTCTGGGGGTGACAATCCTTTGATAACAGTTTTTTTACAGGGAGAAAATTTGTGGGAATGCATAAGGTCTTGCTAACATAATTCCATATTATGCTTGCTCAATAGGAGAAGTTTTATTGGAGATGGCTGTGTCTCCACAGGTCAGGGAGTCTCTTGGGTCTGCAGACTCTTTGTGGTTTCTCGTCTGTTGTTGCTTATCTCAAGTAACTGCACATTTGGAAAGAGATGATTGCATCACTGCAAGGGGTCATGGGAGTCTTCTGATTGAACTCATTTCTGTCCCATTTGAAAGAAAGAAAAGTTGAAAACAGAGGAAAGACATTTCACACTTCCTGGCATTTAATATTTTGGCCAGTTTTTGTTTGTTTGTTTGATTCTTTTTTAAGACAGAGTCTTGCTCTGTTGCCCAGGCTGGAGTGCAGTAACGCCATCTCGGCTCACCACAATCTCTGCCTCCTGGGTTCAAATGATTCTCCTGCCTCAGCCTCCCAAGTAGCTAGGAATACAGGTGCTCATTACCATGCCCAGCTAATTTATGTGTGTGTGTTTTTAGTAGAGACAGGGTTTCGCCATGTTGGCCAGGCTGGTCTCGAACTCCTGACCTCAAGTGATATGCCCACCTCAGCCTCGCAAAATGCTGGGATTACAGGCATGAGCCACTGCACCCAGCCTGGTCAGTTTTAGATCCTGGTTTTGTGACAGAATCAGAGTGACTCGAAGATTCATGTTCTGATCCACTGCAGCTAGCAAATACAACTCCAGGAACTGCACAAATCCTGCACTGCCTTGGCCTTTCATCAACTGAAAGTTAAAGGTGGAGAATTGGGTTTTCTTGCTTGTAAAGGTAGTGCGTATAAAGAAGCATGCAGTAAAGGGTGTTATGTGCGGTAGAATCTTCCATTGGTAGCTTTGGTTAGATGGGCCCAAATACACTACCTTCAGGGTTCTTCTTGGGTTTGTTACCTTGAGTAGAGATTTAAATTTACCCTGCCTCATCTATACTAAATTCTGCCCTTGGTGTGACTCCTGTTACAGTCTCAGAAGCAGCAGCCACTGTAGAGTCCAGTGACATCCTTACCGGGAAGATGACTTTGACCTAGAGAGTTCATTTCAGGGGTAGGGGATGGGGCAGCATCACTGTGACTGAATATGATTATTCATTTCTTTCTCAACTATAAAATGCTTGTTCTTTTCCAAATGTAATGGGCACTATCTTAGCCCGTTATATACCTGAAGTGCAGCCCCGTGCAATTAGCAAGACAGGAGCCAGTCATCATCCATCACAGTGTTTTGCGCATTTTATGCGTTTACCATATTTTACTGCATGCTTGTTTACACACACTATGTTTACAAACAAGAAAACCCAATTCACACAGATTATAGAGGCATCTTCTGTGGCCGGGTGCAGTGGCTCATACCTGTAATCCCAGCACTTTGGGAGGCTGAGGCGGGTGGATCACTTGAGGTCAGCAGTTTGAGACCAGCCTGGCCAACAAGGTAAAACCCCGTCTCTACCAAAAATACAAAAAATTAGCCAGGCATGTTGGTGCACGCCTGTAATTCCAGAGGCTGAGGCAGGAGAATCGCTTGAACCTGGGAAGCGGAGGTTGCAGTGAGCCGAGGTCATGCCACTGCACTGCAGCCTGAGTGACAGTGAGACTCTGCCTCAAAAAAAAAATAAAGCCTTCTATAAATGCCATAAGATGCCTTCAGGCCAGGCGTGGTGGCTCATGCCTGTAATCCAAGCACTTTGGAAGTCAAGGCGGGAGGATCACTTGAAGTCAGGAGTTCAAGACCAGCCTGACCAACGTGGTGAAACCCTGTCTTTAAAAAAAAAAAAAATGCCTTCAAATGCCATCTCAAAATGCAGTTAGGCAGGAAAATTACCTGCTTATAACCTAGGCAACTGGGAAAAAATATGTATCCACCAATGACCCTGTGTTTGATGTTTCCAGCAATAGAACAGTAAATGTGGTTTCCTTTCTGGGGTGTCCTCCATTATAGGCAGCCACTGTATTAACCCGAGAAAAACGTTACCCTCCTGCTGGGAACCTTAACTTCAGAGGCTATGGGAGCCTTCTTCATACCTAAAGTTTTAAAATACAGCCAGTCCCCACCTACAAGCAGGTCTTGTGCCAAGTATGGTTGTAGTTCATTGTTTGGAATCCAGAATGGATTTTCCCATCAGTGTGTCATGAATAGCAGCTGTATTCCAGGCAGCTGCAAAAGGCTTTTTAGCCCACTGTATACCCGGAGTGCAGTCCTGTGCAATTAGCAAGACAGGAGCCAGCCATCATCCATCACAATGTTTTATTCGTTCCCCCAGCCTCCCCGCTCCCACTCTTAGTGGGCCCAGGTGGGCAGGGAAGGGGATGTTGATGAGGCCCGCAGGTGCACAGATTTGCTCCCCACCTGCTGCACCTGCAGGGGTTAAACAGGCCTTGCTCTCCCCTGCCCCCTTACCATTCCTCCTCTCCCTCTCCCCACCCCCAATCTCCTTTTCCCTGTGACGACGGGCTGGGTGAAGTGAGGAAGGGCGGCTAGAGCCACCGGACGCTGAGGCCACGTTGTGCAGTTCGCATCAGAACCCCCTGGGGACTTGCTACAGTTGCAGAATCGAATGCAGCAGATCCGGGGTGGGCTCTGAAACTCTTGAGTATCTAACAAGCTCTCAGGTAATGCCCGCGCACAGGCCCCATTTGAGTAACAGGAATCTCTAAACACCACATGGAGAGGAGAGGCTGGTGAAGAGGGGAAGGCAGTGGAGGGTGAGAGTTGAGTTCTATTCTCCAGAATCTTGCTCTTTCACCAGTCCAGAGTGCAGTGGTGTGATCTTGGCTCACTGCAACCTCCACCTCCCAGATTCAAGCAATTCTCCTGCCTCAGCCTCCCGAGTAGCTGGGATTCCAGGCGCCCACCATGACGCCCAGCTAATTTTTGTATTTTTGGTAGAGACAGGGTTTCATCATGTTGGCCAAGATGGTCTCGATCTCTTGACCTCATGATCCACCCACCTCGGCCTCCCATAGTACTGGGATTACAGCCGTGAGCTACTGCACCCGGCCTCCCTGCGAACTTTTTGCCATGGGGAAAGAAGCCAGCAAACCCTGGTTGTCATCAGGTGTGAGCACCTCACAGCTTCATCTCATGCAAGGCGTTCTCGGCCAGGGCATGTGGAGGTTCTGCACCATGGCCTGAGCCCTTGGGAGAGCAGGCACGGCAGAACCCAAGTGTCTCCTCCAGACGACAGCTGCAGCATTGCTCCACGGGCATCGTTTGTATGAAACACTCACTATTAAAGCACAGTAGGAAGTGCTGAAATGGAAAAGGAATGGTTCATCCAGGGGCCCCAGAATCTAGACCCTGGAGCAGTGTTTGAGGGCCTGGGGATCAGTCAAAGGGACCAGCGTCGGAAGCCGCAGCACACAAGGGGCTTCTGATGTAGGAGGGCAGAGTGTGCGCTTTGAAGACCTTTCATCTAGACGTGGCAAAGCAGTGAAGAACCAGCTTTCATCTTGTCCCCGCCACTAACTAGCCATGTGTCCTAGAGCTCACAGCTTCATGCCTCAATGTCCTCTGTCCTCATCTGTAAAGTAAGGCTAAAATTAGTATCTGCCTCATTACGGTGCTGGGAAACTCAATGAGATTATTTCCGTGAAACCCTTAGACTGTCCATCGAGTGTCACAAAAGCAGTAGTGGTCGTGGCTGTGGCGGTGTGGTAGTGGTGAAATGGGTAATTTGAGAGTATAGGGTCAAAATTTCTGATTTTGCAATTTATTACTAGTATGACCTGGGACAAGTGATTTTGCCTCTCCAAACCTCAGTTTCTTCTCTTGTAAAATAGAAATAATAAAAGTTCCTACCTCCTGCATCATGGAGAGAATACAATGAGGGAAGCACCTAGCGCAGCACCCATCACAAAGCACGTTCTCAAGTCCGTGTCAGTTACTGTTACTGATGGAGACCGGGCTGATGACTGGCACCTGAACAGCAGTTTTCCAGCTGTGTGCCAGGAGCTGTAGGTTTTACAAAACTGTGCCTTGAGGGTGAGAAGGAGGCCATTATTCACCCTGCCCACACCGGCTGCCCCCTTCAACCTGACAGGCTTGTCTTTCTTGGGGCTCAGTGAAGATTTCATTGAGAAGAAAAGGTTTGGAAGGTCACTGCTTTGTAGTTCCGGTGCGTTGTGGGGCCACAGGGAAAGTAAATGGTCTCAATTTTCAGGAAGTTGATATTTACCTTTTCTATTTCATTTCCTTAAACAAAAATTGAAATAGCAGATGCCAAATTTAAGGAGATATGTGCATATAAAACCTGAAGTTCTGTGAGGCGGTATTGAATGATAGAGTGAATTCGCGTCCTCAGATGTGCAGGGTTCCATGTGGCCACTTTATAGCGCTTGCTGATCTTTAACACTTGGTTTTCTCCCCCAGATGAGCACCATGCCGGGACTGCCCACTCGTCCCTGCTTTTATGACATAGATCTTGATACCGAAACAGAACAAGTGAAAGGCTTGTTCTAAGTGGACAAGGCTCTCACAGGACCCGATGCAGGTAGGTTGATGTGCTTCAACTTTTTCTTCCTTTTTTCTAGTTCAAATCCTTTTTTTGTCATATTTGTTTTTCTGATACTTACTACAGAAGTGGTGTGATCAATCATTTCCTTCCTTGGTTACTCAAATTCCTACCAAATGACTTTCCATGACTGGAGTTCACTCCTGGCTGTGGATGCGAGTTAGATGCTCAGTACACAGCCCTTAGTGCACCTGGGCTCCGTCCAGTGAAAGTTAAATTATATCATCCCTGAATATAGATATGTTTAGAGCATCTCTGACTATAACAGAACTCTGTAAACTCATTATTCTATTCCAGGATTAAAACCAGCATCTGTTATAATTTTAAAAGAGTAACTTCCTACCACGTAACTCTTGGTACAGAGCTAGAATCATGTGAAAGAGAAATCTTGGTATATTCGTTTCCTGGGGCTGCCATCACAAAGTATCACAAACTGGGTGGCTTAAAACAATGGAACATTTGACACAGTTCTGGAGGCTGGAAGTCAAAGTCAAGGTGTCAGCCAGGATGCACCCCCTGAGACTCTGCATGGAATCCTTGCTGGCCTCTTCCTAGCATCTGGTGGTGGCTGTCGCTCCTTGGCGTTCCCACCGTCTCAGCCTCTGTGATCCCACCACATTCTCCCTGTCTCTGTCTTCACATGGTGTTCACCTCTTAGAAGGACCCCAGTCATCTTGGCTTAGAGCCCACCCTAAGAACCTCGTCTTAACTTGATTACTCTGCAAAGAACCTCCTTCTAAGTAAGATCATTGTCACAGGCGCTCAGGGTTAGGTCTCCAGCATCTCTTTTAGGAGACACAGTTCAACCCAGAACACTCGACTGTGGCACGACATGTGTGTTTGGCTCCCATGTCCCTGGACAGACACATAGCAATGGGACAGACCATTTAACTAGAGGGCTCTGTGGGTCCCAGGAAGGACAGAGCAGCAGAAAGCAGGCCACAGGATGACTTGGGATCTGCAGTTTTGGGTTGGGCTTTGACTTTGAGCTGTCTTAGGCAGCCCAGACCTGGGGATTCTCGGTCTTATTTATGCCCACGCCACAGCACTGCAGCCGCACCTGCTGGCTTCTGCCAGAGATGACATTCCTAACCCTCTTCCCTGGGGGACAGCTCCTGATCAGAAGTTTGAAAGGCTCAGGGCTGCTTCTCCTACCCCAGGGATCTAACATGTCCTCACCATGTTCTGAAGACACATTCCTTCTCTGCAAGCACCCCACCTCCTTCTCCCCACTGACTCCTGCTCCTGAGCCCAGAACCTCTCCCTCTTGCCAGCGTATTCTGGGCATTTGCAGATGAGCTTCCGTGACCTAAAAACCCTCCTTTCCAACTACCTCTTGTTATGGCTATAAGCCAGACATCCGGGATTCTCATTTGCATTTGTTTCACTACTAGTAATCCACTTGAGTTTGTTGTTGTTGTTGTTTGTTTGTTTGTTTTGTTTTTGTTTTGAGACAGAGTCTTGCTCTGTCTCCAGGCTGGAATGCAGTGATCTCATCTCACTGCAACCTCCACTTCCCAGGTGCAAGTGATTCTCTTGCCTCATCCTCCTGAGTAGCTGGGATTCCAGGTGTGTGCCATGGTGCCCCACTAATTTTTGTATTTTAATAGAGATGAGGTTTCACCATGTTGGCCAGGCTGGTCTCAAACTCCTGATGTAAAGTGAGTCAAGTGATCCGCCCACCTCTGCCTCACAAGTGCTGGGATTACAGGCGTGAGCTACCACGTCAGGCCAAGTTTTTTTGTTAGACCTTTGTTGTTAAAACACTAAAGATCTAGGCTATGATAAGAAAGATAAGGGACCCAGAAATGAAATTGCATTGAAACAAGGTGTGAAATTGTTTGTTTCGGGTTGTGGATGTTTGCGTGGTGGTTGTATGTGTTTTTTGTTGAGGAGCAGAAGCTATGTTAAGTCTGAGCGATACTGCATCTTTGATCTTTGTCATTTCTGTAAAAAGAAAACTCTAGAAAATGAAGGGAGACTAATTTAACAAATTTATAAGCTCAAGCATTGATAAAATGTTGTTTCCTCTTTTGGTTTGAGCTTGTGTGTTGCAAATGTCTTGGATTTCCCAGTGAGACCGTGGGGAAATAGCAATATCATTCCTCTTAAACTGAACACTGAACCCTGTCCCAACTAATCTCTCTTTTCATGTCAGGAACCTATTATGATACATTTCTGCCATTTGTCATTTTTCTCCAGAATAAGTGTGTTCAATTCTCCCATCTCTCTTGGACAGTATTTTTCCAGCTTTCTGTTCGGTTTTCACATGCTGTCCAAGTAGGTCATATAAGCACAATTATACCTTAATTATTGTAGTTAAGATTCAGAAAATGCTAAGGGACACATCCTTAGATTTATTAATGCAGACCGTTAGATCCTTTATTACCTGAGGTATTTGTGCTCCCTAACAAGAATTCCTCCAGATCTTTTTTTTTTCTTTTCTTTTTTTTTTTTTTTTTTTTTTTTTTTTTTGATATGGAGTCCCACTCTGTTGCCCAGGCTGTAGTGCAGTGGCACAATCTCAGCTTACCACAACCTCACTCACCACAACCTCCACCTCCTGGGTTCAAGCGATTCTCCTGCCTAAGCCTCCCAAGTAGCTGGAACTACAGGCACATGCCACCATACCCAGCTAATGTTTGTATTTTTAGTAGAGACAGGGTTTCGCTGTGTTGGCCAAGCTGGTCTCAAACACCTGACCTCCTGATCTGCCCACTTTGGCCTCCCAAAGTGCTGGGATTACAGGCATGAGCCACCATGCCCAGCCTCCTCCAGATCTTATATACGGGGCCTGAAGGGCAGGACACGGGCCCATGGTAATTACTTCTAATGTATCGGGCACCTTGCTTAGCATTTTGCCCTGGGTGGTCACAGCACCTCTGGAGGCAAGTGTTGTCCCATAAGGCCACAAAGGCTTCAAGAGGACCAAGCCTACCCTGTGGTCACTGAGGGGTAGCCCTGGTCTGCAGGCCTACAGAGCTGCCTTGCCACCCTGTGGCACTGCCCCTCATTTCATAGCTGGCACATGGCCATCCCCATCACGTGTCGTGCTGGCATCACCCCAGGGAGGTGGGTAGTATTTTTGTTTCAGAGCTGCAAGAACTCTGCCCAGAGAGGTTGACAACCTGCTCAAGTGGCACAGCTAATAACGACAAAAGCCAAGACTCAGCTCAGATCTGTTGACTCTCAGTATCACCCCAACCTTTAAGCCCCAAGCCAAAGGATGCCCTTTTCATTTCCGTCACAGGCAAAATGAACTTTGACCGATTCTGAAAGATGATACCAGCTATTTGAACAGACAGGTATTTGAGGATAATAGGGTAATTAATAATAAGTAAAGATAATTATTTGGGTATTAAAAGCTATGACGTTGTCATAATTCGTTTTAGTCCAGGGAGAGTAGAGCTAGCTCTTTCCTAATTCTCTAATGGAATGGCATTTCCACCCCCTGCCCACTCCACCCCGAGATCCAACGCCTCTTTCTTCTTTGTGAATTGCTAAATACTGTTCTAGGCTTGGTGGGCAGTGGTTCAAAACCCATCATTTGACCCTGCTTGAACAATCAAAAACAGATCCAGTGTCCTAAATAAAACCACTCTACAAAGCAAACCTTCCGTCTCAGTGGTTCCTCAGTAATGAGCCAGCAAGCATTGTCTCTTTCCTGTGCCCCTCACTATAGCCATCAGGAATCACGTCTACTAATAATCAGAGGTCCGTGGCTATTCAAAACGCATAAAATAAAACTGTTAAAGCTTAGGCGACAGTCAGCTTGGACAAACGTGGGCATCTGAAAGGAAATGTCTGGTTTGCTGACTTTGCTCCCTCGGGGATCACACCGTGGATGGTCGGCATACCCAGGACTGAGCAGCACACTCATTATTCCTCCAGGAACGTGTTGGAGATGCGTCCCACTCAGGAAGAAGATGGTGCTTAGTTGATGAAACTCTCTGTCCTTCCCTTCCTCACCTTTCTAGCCTATCTCAACTCCTAGGAAACTGTGTGAAGCCAAAGGTGAACGTGATATGCCAAAACAGCACCAGAATTTGAGCTCTCCTTGCTGCCTCTCCCCAAGACCTCTCTGTAATGCTTTCACTATTGTTAGAATAAGGGCATGATTCATTCTTTTGAATGTCACTAAATAGAACTAATTAAAATAAGTTGTTTGTCCCAGTGAAATTGATCCAGCTGTTCAGTTTTTTGTTTAAAGATTATTGGAACTAAGGGTTTGATTTTTTTCCCCCCATTCTGTTTTCTCATTCTGAAACTTATCATATTTCCGGGCTTTGGCAAGAGTCATTCAAATGAACACACAAGAAAGTCTGGCAAATTTCCTGAAGAATTCAGGGACTCCCTTACTTCGTTATTCTGCTGTGCAAAGTTATGTTGAATATGGAATCAGATTCACTCCAGTCCTGCTATAAATATTTGTTCCTTATAAAAGAATTGCTTTTTCTTGAATTATACACGTAGAAATAAGTTTAGGGTAGAAATGAGTTTCTTTCCTAAATTGACTTTAAGCCATCAACAGAAAAGTGGCTAAAGAAAATGTGGTGTGTATAGATAGTGGAATACTATTTACCCATTAAAAAGAATGAAATAATGTCATTTACAGCAGCATGGATGGAAATAGGGGTTATTATGTTATGTGAAATAAGCTGGGCACAGAAAGACAAATACTGGGTATTATCACTCTCATTGTGGAAGCTAAAGAACTTAGCCTCATAGACAGAATAAATGGTAGACACCAGAGGCTGGGAAGGATGGGTGGCTGGGAGGAGGATATGAAGGGAGGTTGGTAATGGGTACAAACATACAGTGAGAAGAAATAAGCTCTAATGTTTGATAGCAGACTAGGATGACTATACTCAGCAACAATATTTTGTATATTTCAAAGTAATAGGAAGAGAGGACTTGAAATGATACCAATATACAGTAATGATAAATACTTAAGATAATGGACACCCCAGATACCCTGATTTGATCACTACACATTCTATGCATGTAATAAATACTCACATTTACCCCATAAGAATATAAAATTTTAGGCTGGGTGCAGTGGCTCATGCTGTAATCCCAGCACTTTGGGAGGCCGAAGTGAATGGATCACTTGAACCTGGGAGTTCAAGACCAACCTGGGGAACATGGCAAAACCCCATCTCTACCAAAAACGCAAAAATTAGCCAGGCATGGTGTTGTGCACCTGTAATCCCAGCCACTCAGGAGGCTGAGGCAGGAGAATTGCTTGAACTGGGAGGCAGAGGCTGCAGTGAGCCGAGATCATGCCAGCCTGGGTGGCAGAGAAAGACTTGGTCTCAAAAATATATATAACATATCAATATAAGGGGAAAAAAGGGCAGAAATTTTCAATGATATTTAATAACCGTAAATTAATCTTGAGTAGCATTGCTGCATGCCAGCCCTTCTAAGAATGTGATTTATTCAGTGCCAAGTCACAAACCACAGGGTTACAAAGGGCCCTGGGAGAGCATCTGAGCTTTTTGGTTTCAGTCTTGAAACTTTATCTTTTCACAGAGCAACTCAAAAATTGCTCATCACCCTTGTGTTCCAAGGACTCATCACCCTGAGCCAGCCAAGGAGTGCCCACTTCCTTTCCGCTTCCAGGCAGGGGCCAAGCAGGATGGAGGCTCAAGCTATTATATTTAAATAATCCTCATTGACATCTAAAAGATAGTGATAATTAAACCTCTCCTATGTTGCTAAATTAAATCTCCTATCTAACTAAAATGGAATGTTTTAAAGCTTAGGTTACAATTATGAAATTCTTAATTCCCCTTCAAATAATCTTTTTCTGAACATATTTTGATTTCTTATTCCAATACCAAAATAAAATGTTTTGTATATTGTATCTTCCAAAATATTTTCCCCCTAAGTTCTGAAATTGCTTATTTGAATGCATAAGCACTAAACAAGATTTGTTTTGTTTTTACATTCTTACCTTAGCTATTGCATCCCTGATTGTTTTCATCTGTAATGAGACTTTCCATACTTTGCCAATCCTTCCATTTTCTTCAAAATGTGGGACCACAGGCCAGGCACAGTGGCTCACATCTGTAATCCCAGCACTTTGGGAGGCCAAGGTGGGAGGATCACCTGAGTTCAGGAGTTCAAAACCAGCCTGGCCAGCATGGTGAAACCCCGTCCCCACTAAAAATACAAAAAATAGCCAGGCGTGGTGGCAAGTGCCTATAATCCCAGCTACTTGGGAGGCCAAAGCCCGAGAATCACTTGAACCCGGGAGGCGGAGTTTGCAGTGAGCTGAGATCATGCCACTGCACTCCAGCCTGGGTAATAGAGCAAGACTCTATCTCAAAAAAAAA